ACGCAGGCACCTGAGGACTTTGCGTTTGTTCAGAAGGAAAGCATATTAAGATCTGCTAGACATAGCAATATATACATAGCAAAATTGTTGAAAATATATAAATAAATAGTTGAAGATGGGGCTTTTTTTTTTTTTCAAGTGAATGCAATACGCTTCCGTAGACTGTGTATTACAATAGACCAATATATAAGTACCTCAAAACTGGACCCAAGTCCAGCTGCATCACTGCAACATGCACAAACCAGATACGTTTCGGTGTAGGTTATAGGCCTATGGGATTGATACTGTGCCTTTGAAGGACATGTTCAACAGGATGCAGGATGTGAACAATGCATTTTACAGTACTACAATAATGCAGCCTGTCAGTATTTTTTCTGCACAAAGAAGACTGTCCTAACTGAGAACTTCTTGGGAAGAAGTTGGATTTTGGAGAAGGGTTCAACTGTAGTTCTCCCTCCTGAAGCCCCTAGTTCTTTAAATCAATGGGAGTTGATTATGATCTGGCTTGACCTCACTCCAGTGGCCCCCATTCTGTGAGCCAGTGGGGTTTGAGCATAGTAGTACAGTTCCTTATAGAGTGAGCTGAACTTTACCTTATTTTACCTTAGCGGTCCACCCTAGTCTGTATTTGTTGTAGAAAGAAGCAATCCAATTACTGAATCTTCACTCATATGAGATCTACAAGGCCTAATTTGAGTGTTTATCCCGACCTAGGCATGGACACAACTCAACTGCACTACCGGTGTTAGACAGAACTTTAATTAAATGTTTAATATTTGTCTGGAGGAGTGTGCCCCTATAATACAGCTTTTTCGGTTTGTTTCCCACATTATGAGAACTTTATGAGATGTGAATAAGTCTTGCTGAGCACAACTTAGTGTACGACGTATATGCTTAGCGTAGCTATTAATCACATATGAGTATGTATTTAAAACTGATTAAAGGCTTTTAAGGAGGACAAGTAGGCTAAGTGTTCTATTAGTGTTTTCAACATTTGCTGTCACTACAAGCAACCCTTCGGCCGAAAGTCACCAGTCATATACTTCATAATACAAATATAATTATTATATTTCATTGGATATTGACTTCTAAAAGACAATACATTAATTCCTCCAACCAGCAGGTTGCAATAACACCTGCATGGAGGGGCCTCAGGAGAGAGGCTTGAGCAGCAGACAGTTCCAACTTCAGTACCTTTGATGCGTATCGCTCCGCCACCGACACCAGTCTACTTCTTCTTCTTCCGCTTCTTCTTCTGGTTTTATGGCGGGTTGCAACCATGACTTATAAGGTGCATAACACCACCTACTTTACCGGAGTATGTAGCGTGAGTTATGTTTATATGAGACTACATAATAAAATAAAGTAAATAAGAGTAATAGAAAAAGAAAAACTAACCTAACTATATTCTAAAATATAACCCTATATCCTTCAAATATTCCACACTGGCTTTCTGTGTGTCCTTTACCTCCGTTCCTGCTGTTCCCATACACCCTCAAGGTTTCATTTTCTTCCTTCCTTTTGATTTAGCCTTATCCTTTCTTCCCTATATTTTCTACAATGTAATAGTATATGTTATACACTGTGATTTACATTCCAAACATTCATCTGATTGACTTTTAACTAACAAAAAGAATGTTTTATTTAACTCTGTGTGGTCTCCTGCCATCTGTTCTTTCTAATCACATGATAGATGACTGATAGATTTCCGCACACTGTAATATTTCCTTCCACTACAATCCCTGTCCCACCTATCCTGCCATTTCTTCATCATTTCTTTTTTGATCATTGCCTTAGCTTCTCCTTTACCAAAGGGTTTATTTATAACATTGCTTGTATGAGTTGATTTTTTTGGCTATTTTGTTTGCTTTCTAATTCCCTGTTTCACCTACATGAGCAGAATCTCTCATCTACCCAAAGCCTCCACAATCTAAATAAACTTTAATGGATCTCTAGCATTAAATGTTCTCTATTAGATTTCATATTTTGAATACTGTAATGGGCTGCTACAGAATCTTGTCTGGTTTTACTTCCTCCACCCACTGCAACCATTCAATAATCACCATCTTTTCTGCCATGTAAACTGACAACTATCTTTAGATAATCTTTTCCCAATACTTACATTAGTTGTTGGTATGTATACTCATCTTTGTCTGTATAAATATCTAAATAACTTTAATATTTACTTCTTATGTACTGACTTGCCAGGTGTCCTTTCCCACTGTCTTCCCATTCTCTCTTTGATTCCATTATTATTATTCCAGATATTTTGTATTCTATATTCCTCTGATTTAGCCTTTGTTACTCAGCCAAAGCCATTACCTTAAAAATAATTACAGTCCCAACATTCCTAAATAACAGTCTTTCCCAACTACTACTCTCATTAAGTTTATAACTTTCTTACATTTTGATTCCACCTTTTCCATATGTATTTTCCATGTACCCTTTTGGCCTAACCAAATAACCAGATATTTAAGATGATCTACTGTTTCCATATTGTGGCCATATATAACTTCAGGTTCTGTTTGTCTATCTCTTTCCTACTAGTAAATAACATATAACAAGAATTACTTGGAGAAAGCTTAAAGCCCCAATTGTACGACCATTGTTCTACTTTTCCTATTGCTTCCTTGATTTTAACTTATCACACTCTCGTGTGCTCGTCCTCTTGCATCCAGAGCTGACCCAACTTTTTGGCATTCTACCTTCTTCCCATATCTTATTAAATAAAAGCAATATTATCTCTAACACTTTTTTTCAGGTAATTTCTGGAACGTGACATAGCTCAGTTGATCTTCTCCTGTATTATAGTATTTCTGATTCCATTTAATACTATCACTAGTTCATGTTGATTTCTGCATCCATGGTAATTCCCTCATTATCTTTTTTCCAAAGTTATTTTTTTTGGCCTTTTATTGGCTTTATTGGATAGTGACAGCAGAAGATAGACAGGAAAAGGGGGCAGAGAGAGAGGGGATGACACGCAGCAAAGGGCCGCAGGTCGGATTCGAACCCTGGGCCGCTGCAGCAAG